TTCTCTCCCGAGGCGGTCCCCGAGGGATTGCCTGTGAAAAGTATAAATGCGGGAGTTTTAATAAAAATCGCATTTCTGCCTTATTTTTTTTTAAGTAAGTACTCCTCATTTGGAGCCTTTTTCGCAGAAGTTGTCCGAGCTCTGCTGGGATTGTGATTTTTGATAACGGCAGGTTTAACATGCTTATTTCACGAATAAGCATGTAAAATTTGCTGTTATCGAAAATTTACACGCTTAGTGCGCTTGAACAAGAAAATTTGAGAACGCACCGTGCGCAGACTTTGAAAGCAGGTCTAGGCACGCCAATCTGTGGCGGACTTGGATTATCGTGATTGTCTGTATCCGTAGCATCGCCAACCCATCTGTACTCTCCTTGCACGCCCAATGTTAGCTGCTTCACTGGCTGCACTGAAAACCCTGCACGCAATGCCTTTGTTGCTCCCAGGAAAGTTAATTTGAGCTTCGTCATCGCAACACTTCCATGATATTCCATCTCCGCCTCATTGTTTGCTAGTTGCCCTGAAAAAGATTTTTTCAAGTGCTGTTTTAAGGTGGCTCTATGAACGCATAGGGTGCAATTTTAACGCACGACTGGCAGTAACACGCTCGCTGCTACTACTCTTTCATCTTTTCAACCCCTAAACTACACGGTTTCCGGCCATTACCCTCATAAAGTATGCGCAGCAGCTCCTTAAGGCCACTCGAATAGCACACAGTACTTGTATGTAGAAGTCCCGCGAAAAGCCGGTAAAAGAAGTATGCGTACGCAAACAGGCATGCAGCGCATAATGCAGAGACTGACTGGTGGTGTAATGGTAACATGTTACGTCCGGAAGTGAAGAGGAGTAGTTCGATTCCTTGTCAGTCCAGAACAGTTTTCGAGAAAGGGCTCCGTGCGCGAAAGCACTTGAGCAATGCTCACTGGTTGCGAAACCTTATGACAAGCAACAAACTTTTATTGCATTTATTTACATATATTTAAGTCTAAAAAACTTTTTTATAAAATCTACATCAGTACCACTAACTGACATTTTCCAGTTTCTTGAGTGCTTTTCGGCGTGTCCTTGCTTGCCCTCACTCTTTTTTAAATTTTTAAGATTTATTTCAAAATTTACAAACCATCTTCTCAAAAAAAATTTTATTTGTTTTACCATCATCACAGCTGTCAGAATTACGAGACTCTATAAGTCTTGTAAGCCCGATTTTTCTTCTTTTTTTTAGCACTTCAACGAAATTGTCACATGATTGATGGCTTGATTGATTGTACAATTAAAAAAAAAGTGTTTCCAAGCCTACTTTCATTCGTGCGTCGCTACTAGGTTCGCAAAGAGGGAGCATTTCATCAGAGAATACTTTCAAATTTGTATAAACATTGGATAAAAAGTAGAGAATGGTCAGGAGACGAACCAATATTGCGACTTGAAATAGCTGCATACCAGCGAGAGTCCAGGTTCTGTACTATTCGAAATGACGGCCAGAACGGTGCAACCAAAGATTCGGTAGATAAATTCAGTTCGTACTGGCCGAGACGAGTCGCTTTCGTGAAGTTGTAGGCGCCGATCAGTGCGGGAAAATGAGTTTTGTCGAGTGCAGGCCACATTCTGCTCGTGATCTACAAAAGCAGTCTCTTTTTTGGCGCAACACAGTTGAACTGAAGTGAAAATCACTTCGAGCCTACTTTCTGCTAGAAACGGGAGCACAGAAAGTCTCAGGCGCGCTAACACAGGTAACTGGAGCTGACCCAGATCTAAAAGTGTCATTCTTGGGAGAGCTAGTAACTTTCAGAGAAAAAGGGCAATGATCAAAACACCCCGACATCATATGTTACTACAGTGTGTGTGAATGGTACTCCACCCAGAATTTCACCGAAGAAACGGTGCACAATGGTGGCGAGTTAATAGAGCAGGAAATAAGGAATCAATCTAAGTATTATGTGAAAGAGGACAACTTTTGATACAAAGTGGATGCGGGACAAAGCTTGCTCTACAGCTGATGATATCCCAGCTACACTAGAACTCCACATAGATGATCTTGGGATCCTTGTTTTGGGCTTTTGAAAGGTAGATTCCACCAGCCCTTTCCCCTTTCCTCCTTCTACCTACTTCACCCCTTCAAAAACGGTTCAAATCCTCACTATCTTCCCCAGAACAGTATTTCTCAAAACACTTTTGACGATTTTTTTTTTCTGCATTGTCTGCCGAAATCATTCCTAAAATTCTGCCAGAAGGAGAATGCTTGATTTTTATGAAGAATGGTCTTCGGCCACAAAAAATCTTCAGATCCACCAATATTATCCTGTTGTTCTAATAAAGCTCCAACTTCATAAATGTTTCTTCGGGAAAAAAGCAAGTATAAATTGCTCTCCTGTAACCCAGAAGAGAAACCACCTGTCACAGCTGCACCTAGCTTGTGAATGCATCCAGTAGAATCGGATTTCCGGCCAGAATTTTAAGGTAAGAAAATCGATCACTCAGGTTATTATATCTCTGTGCCTTTTTATACTCCAAATAAAAACTAAGTGAAAAATGAC